GCCAGTTTGTGATTTTGTTCAAGGCTGATTTCTTGCACATTTGGGAAGCATCAGAAGCAGTCCCAATGAATACAGAGCTCAAGGTTTCCGGTTTGGTTGTCAGCACCCAAATTTCAGCTGCTGCAAAATCCCATGCACTCCATGTCTGGGAAGCAGACATCTCCCTTAACCTAACAAAGTTCATTTCTCCTCTTCGTCCTTTGCCACATCCACGGTTTCTGCACAAATCTAGTTTACATCCTTGCCCACATTACTTGTGCCTAACGCATCATAGGGCTGAAGAGATGTGCACCATTGAAAAACATGTGTAAATAGGACAGAGCCAAAAAGCTTGTGTGGGGGCATCTCAGCTGGTTCAGCCAGTGAAAGCCTTCCCTCTGATAGTGTCACCTAGTCCTCTAGGGAAACAGGCCGGTGTCTTCAGGTCCTTTTCCCACAGGGAAGGGAAGGGAAGGGAATGGAAAAGAGCTGCTTGCTTTCTTTGCCATTCACATTCATCTGGGCAGGGTGCTGTGCTTTCGTCAGGAACTCATGCTCTGGAGAGATGTTCTCTGAGGCCTGATCTTCTGGTAACTCCAGTCTTGCCTGCACTCCTGAGGTCATCTCTTTTTCATAACCACCACAAAAAGGCTTGTGGATAAACTGAGACAGCTTAATCCTGTGCTGTTTCCTCTGCTGAACTCCGAGTGTGCTGGTGAGGGACATGCAGCAGTAGTCAGCAAGGATGAGGAGGGTTGTTGTCATTGTAGTAACTGCTTTTGTGACAAAGGATCCAATGGAATCAGGAAATCCCCTCAGTAATTTTAGAGATGTTTAAGGTCCCTTCCAGCCCAAACGATTCTATGATTCTATGTGTCATTTCTGCTACAGGGCCATTTTCACAGGTGTCTGTTCTCACGGCAGCACCTTGCATGGGCTGCAGAGAGGACAGCAAGGGGAAGGACTGTGGACCTTGCCGAGACTACGTCTTTCATGTTAAGGCACAAGGATGTGTCTCCGAGACAGAGCCTGATTTGCAGTGGGAAGGCACTGCCTTCTGTAAGTATTCTCCGTGCTTAGAAGTGGTTGTGCAATTGCAGTGGAAACTGCTGGAACCAGATGTTATATCTGAAAAGGAGTGAATCCCTCGATGTCCTGAAGAGACCATGAGCTGCTGCTGCTTCTGTTCCTTGGCTCCCCTTGATCCTCCTGTCTGTTGTTGTTTGGGTGGTCGCAGCTGCATCAGGATGCATTTCGCCTTGTTTCATCCTAAGATTTTTTTTGTGTCATGAAGACAGGGGTGTCGTCTGACTAACAGGATAGAAGAGCTCTTTTAAAAGAGGATAACTTGATTGTGTCTTTACCATCTCAGCAAAAAAAGCCTGGAGTAACTGGGAGTTGTTAGGAGAGTAACTGTTAGGGATCTTTGCTCTGCTGATGAACAGAATATCTCAACCAAGAAAAAGATGCTCTTTGCCAGGTACTTTTTTTAATGGTTGCGCAAGTTCTGTTTTGATTGCTTCTTATTTGGTTGGAGGATGCACCAATGGTACACTTGTAGAAGGAAAAACCTGATAGTCTGATATTTCAGATTGCTTAAACTCATCTAGCTTAACATTAAATAAAGCAAAGTTTGTCTGTGCACTCTTGCTCACCACCCAAACCTTGAAAATTAATTAGTTGTGCTATTCCCTAACTTCTGCAAGAGTTAAAAGTTTTCAGTCAGATTAGTGAAATTATGACGCAATTGTGAAGAGTTCCATGTAAATTTATAAAGAGACTGTTAAACATGAAAGGAGCAGTGCTGTGGACAAGACTATTAGTGATTATGCAGGATTAGTCTGCTAACCCAAAGCAACTGCAATTGGTGAAAGTAATTCTGACTTAGCATCCCTAATGTCCAGCTCCTTCAGTGTCAGGGTGCAGCTCTTGCAGAACCAGGAACAAGTGAAGACAGCCAGCTAGGCAGCCAAATTGCCAAAAGCTTCCCAATGTCAGAAAGGTTTCTGGATAGGGAGAATCTTTCGGTAAACTCAGGATTGGGTATTCTGTGGTAAAAAAGAGAGTATTAGGGAGGAAGGTTTGCTTGGAGAAATGAGTGTTTAAGCAGGAAGGGGCAAGAGGTACCTTTTGCTGTGGGATTTCTTTCTGTGATTTAAGACTTTTTTTTTTTTCCCTCCCTTCTGTTTTGTATCTGGACTACCTGATCAAAGCTTTCTGATCAGAATTATTCTGTCGCTCTTGGTGATTGATGGTCAGGTCATCTGATCCAGTGTGTGCTACGGGGACTTCGCCCAGCAAGATGGCATTCACAGTATAACTCTACTGTTCGATTAGTATGAGCCTAGAGTGATTTAATCTTCTCCAGTAAGGGTTTTATATTAATTTCTGCAATTAACCCCTCGCAATCAAACAGCCACCTCTCCAGTCGACATGGAAGCTCTCTAAGATGTTGTGGTGCCACCACCCTGAGAATGATTAGCCCCTTTGGAAAGCAGCATAACTGATAATTTTCTGGTTCAGCACTTGATCAAAGTTATCTAGAGAATCTTTGCCCCATTTCATCTTCATCCACAAGAAAAGGCAATTTGAAGCATCACACATGTAGTCTCCACAGATACAATGCCAGCACACTACTTAGCCAAGAACTGGGAAATTAAAAGCATTTTTGGTTTTGTGTCATGAAGTTCAGGGAAGGGCACTATTTCAAGAGACTGTTTCAGCAATGTTGTGGATTTCATCCCTCCCCCTCTCTTCTCTTACCCTTGTAAGGAAAGATTATTAGTATTAAAAATTACTTACATGGCCTATTCTGAAAATGAAAGCAGAAAGGGAAGTGGCTAAGCTCAAACGTTGTACGTTTGAAACTGGCATCAGCCAGTGTCCCTTCAGAAATGAGATTTTATTGAGTTTATGCCAAATGGAGCTTTGTCACTTCTGCCGAGGTGTCAAGGCTCCCGGCATAGGCTGGGGTGCTCTGTGTGCTAGTGTTCACATGCACCACACAATCGCAGTGCATGGGACCTTCTGGTCCCCCCACCTCTCCCTCCCAGGCCCCACAGCAATATCTGTCAAAGCAGAGTCTCCATGTTAGCAAGCGATGGGTCATGTCACCTGGTGGATTCCCCAAATGGGTCAGCTTGGGAGGCAATCCCTTTGCCCAGTGACAAGTCTTTCAAATGTCATTAGGCTACAGGCATTTCTTAGGTTCTTCTGAGTCGTGGCTCACCAGTGCCGTGTTTAGAAACTTACCTTCTGGGTTTCATGGGCGCATGGGCTCATTTTCCTGTCCTGCACACTTAGCAGCCTGTTCAGGAGTTTCTCACCTAAAGGTCACTGGTAGAGGTAGAGCAATGTCACTTTAGCAGTTCTTTTGGCCCAAAGGCCAAGAACTCCTGAACAGGCTGCTAGGTTTCTGAGAGGGACACAAAACTATGCCCCAAAGGGTAAGTTTCCAAATGTGACATAGATGTCTTCCTTTCAGCAAGATTTTGCACAGCATTTCTCCTACAATCAGTGAAGAACATGCAACTACAAAACGGTAGAGAAGATTTTTGGCCACCTTGTCTGAAGGTGCTCCCAGGGTGAGTTAAGAAGCTTTACAGGACCCTTCTTGCACCACAGCTGTAACTCCAAAGCCTGGAATAATGACAGCCTCAGTGCCCGTTGTTGCCTGTGGACTCTCTGCAGGCGCAGAGGAAGCCACTAGAGATCAGGCTCTCTTCCACTCCTGTTTTGCTGGAGAATTGCGCTTGCTCAGCAGCAGGGCAGTCAGGTCCCCTGTGGACCAGTCCTTGTAATCACCGTGTAGGAAACTTTTGCTAGGTCAGAGTTGCAGCATCTAAGAATTGTGCTTGGGCAGGTGTTTCTGCCTACACACTGTAAATCTGGCAGCATGTCACTGCTGCTGGAGCAACTCATGGGTTTTTTTTTCTGTTTCAGCTTTCCTACCTTGGTTCCTCATGCTTAGGTTTGCACCACGTTTGTCACCTTGTCCCCACTGGGTAATTTCTGGCTGACATTCTCCTGGCCACCTGAGCAGTGATCTCCCAGAAGACTGGCATTTGAGTTGGGAGATGCAGAGCACCCAGTGTTTACAGCCTCTTCTGCACTAGATATGTGACATTATGTCTCCGAAGTGCTAACCCACCCAAGCTCACGCTGGCTCATCCAGCTAGAGAGTCGCTTTCTTTCATTGATGAAAGACAAACGTGTAAAATGGGCTCTTTTCAGCTCCCTGCAGTGATTTCCAAAATCTCTTGTAATTTCTCATTTCTTGCTTTCAAGTTCATGCAATAGTGATGGAGGCTGTGGCACAGTCGGTGCACAGAGATTCCCCTGGTGTTCATAAGTAGGATGCCAGCCAGCCAGCGCGGTGCAGGCAGTAGGAGAGAAGAAGAGTGCTAACTTTGTGACGCTGGCTAGGGTGGCTTCCTCAAACGCTGGTGCTGACAGGGCAGCTGCAGTCCCAGCCTGCAACTTGCAGAGATAACCCTTCCTCTGAGCTGTGCTCCCACTTGTTCCCTCTTTGATTTTGGTGTAGACATATGGGTTTGGGTCTCTCAGCCTCCCCTCAGGGTGTTGCTAAAACAGGAGGTTAGTGCCCTGATGAGCCTTTCAGCAGGGAAGGGAGGGAGATGTGCCACGGCCACAGTCCCAATCCTGAAGTCCTCCTGAAGGACACCACTGGCTGGCTTGGACGCTGCAGGAGAGCAGGATAATTCCTGTGGTCCCGTCACTGTGGGGTCACAGCAGAGCAGAATGGGTACATGGGCCCTGATGAAGAGCATACAAGTGCCCCCAGAGCTTGCCCTGACTCCTGCATGGCAGAGACCCGAGGGTGGGTCACCAGAAGCCTTCCACCGTGAGTGCTGGAGACCTCTGTTCATGTTGAGGAGTTGCCCTGGCATGACTGGGGGGAGTTTTATGGGCAGATGATCACAGCCTTGGCCCATGGCAGGGGAGAAATGGTGATAACATTAACCAGCACCTCTACGTTTCTCTCTCCCTTACTATTCCAGAGCGATTACTCAAGTGACACCGAAAGTGAAGACAATTTCCTGATGATGCCACCAAGAGATCATCTCGGCCTCACTGTGTTCTCCATGCTTTGCTGCTTCTGGCCATTGGGAATTGCTGCCTTTTACCTGTCGCATGAGGTAATGTTAAAACTTCTCCTGCTAATTCAGAGCTTTGCATCCACGGAGCAGCCATTACCCCACACCAGGAAGGAAAGTTCACCAAGACCCAAATGTGGGCGAGATGCTTTCCAGGGTAGTGAGAGTTGGTTAGAGAGGGTAGTGTGTTCCCCACCTTGATATGTCTCCGTGATAGTGGTGGTTGTCTTGTGAGATACTTTGCTGAGGGAGGACTCTACAAAATATTTCGGGTTTTAGTTGACAATGGTTAGGTTCTGTGTCAGGTTATACAATGTCCAGCTAGGGGTTTTCTGTGGACATGACGTTTGAGTGGAAAACACCCTTGCCACCTCAAACATATAGATTTCCCATTGGGAAAACTGATCTATTGGCTCCTAAGCTGATCATCTGTAAAAGCAGGCCAGGTAATATCCTTCCAGGAGCAGAAAAATCATTTCTGTTCTGCAGAAGCAATTTTGCTTTCCGGGAACCTTTTCCTTTTCCCCTGAAAAATTGCTCAGTCTCTTCTTCTTGTCCAGTTTTAGAATGGAAATATTTTTTACCACAGAAGTGACAATGTTTTGGTTTGTTTCCTTCATGAGACAGGGTAGCTTGTTTTTAGCCTGTACCTAACAATCACCTCATGCCCCATCATTTGTTTCGACAAGTACGTCTTCGTAAGTGCCTGCAATTATTGAGTTTCCCAGCACGGCAGATAATGTAATGTGACACAAAAGGAGTCGCACTGGAAGTCTCTTCAGTGACTGCAAGGAAACATTCACTTATATTTCTATGTACTGGTGGTAGCAATGCCTATTTGCAAACTACAGTCTGTACTCCACAGCACCAAAATCGTTCACCCTCTTGCCTGTCTTTCTAATCTGCCTGCTCTAAACATCTACCAGCGCTGAGTATTTGTCAAGCCAGAGCTGGCACTTCAGATCTGAAGAATACTGGTCTTCGATATCAGAGAAAGACATACAGCACTACTATTTTTCGCTTTAAATGAACCGTCTGTCATCAAACTTGGAAGCCTCTGTGACAATTAAAGTTTGTCCAGTGGAAAATAAGAAGTTTCCTTGTTTGAGCTCTATTGTTTTCTCAACTTTGGGTCAAGGAATTTGCCTGACAATGATGACAGCAGAAAGTAAAGCTTTGGGTGGGAACTGTGCGTGTTTCAGTATCCTGCCGTGTGGTCCTTCAGGCAAAGCTATTCATCAGCAGTTTCAATGGCCACATCTCTTCACACGCATGGACTAGGCAAGATTTTTCACCAATGCTGCAAGCCAAGGAAGGGTTGAGAGTTTGTCACCATTAGCGGTGTGTTTGCTCTGTGCCGGGGAAAATAGTGTCTTCATTAATTTCCTGCGGTAGCATTCCTTTGGGAGGCCTGGGGATTGCTAGCTGGTTTTATCTAAGCAGTGAGAGCACAGCACAGTCCAATAAGTACAAAACAAACAACATAATTAAGTACTAAGAATTAGTAAGGCTGAGAAGCTAAATGTGCTGAGAGCTAGTGTACGAAGCACAGGGCATCTGCATTAGCTGTGAACCGATCCCAGGGGCCGGCACGAATCCATAAGACCCCAATACCTGGAGAGGAGCATAAGGAAAGTGGAAGGCAGCAAAAGATTATGATACTGTGCTGAACGATTTAGTCCCTGGAAAATGGGAACTTAGGCATTGGTTTTGTTTAGCATAACGATGGGGGACTGCTGAATGTGACTGCCTAAAACTAGGAGCTGTCAGCGGGAAAGGTCAGGCAGGTGCTTTGCTTTTATTAGGTTGAGAGGCAGTAAATTAATCTTTGCTAATTAGCCCCTTGGATTCACCAAGGCAAGCTGTGGCTAAATCCAGCTGGAGGAAGACTGTGTTTCTGAGGAATTTTGACTCGTTTTTGCATTGGAAGTAGAAATTTGTTCTTCTCTCCCCACTAAAAATGTGGTAATAATAATGCCACCTCTGCATGCTCCGTTCTTCTCATCTCTCCTCTTAGCTCTCTCCAACAGCTGAATCAGCTGAGAACTGCTTTCCTAAATCTCTCACAGAACCATGTCCAAGTCCCTGCTTGTCCCAGTCCAACATGGGCAAATCAGTCTGTCTGTTCCCCAGTTTCCCAGGCAGGTACCTTCTCTGTCTGCCTTCCCCTCCAGCAGGTCCTTCACAGCCCTGAGAAGCCACCAGCCTTCACTGAAACTGGCACTTCTGCAAAACCCCATGTCCAACAAATTGGCATTTTCCAGTGGAAAAATTAAGCCCAAAACCTTCTATGGCTGAGAACTGGCTAAAATAGCTTGTATGAACCACCAAAATCCTGCACCTAGCTAAACTAATATCAACAGTAGTATCGACTCATAGTTTGGAGCATAAACCATTCAGAATGATGCTTCATATGTGAGGTAATAAAACATTAGCATGTGATTTCTATTTATATAGGTCTTTTAACTCAAATTCTTGAATAACATTTGAGATCTCTTGTTAATACAAAAGGGTAGACTAACATTCCCTGTCCTTTATCAAAAGTCAGAACTATAACTAAATATCAAAACTTGGCACTTGTATTCAAACCTTTTTTTGCAGTTGCTCGAGCTCTTGAAAATTTCATGTTTTCAAAAGTCTCCTGGGTGATTCCACTAAAAATGTCCAGTCTGGGAAAAAATTGTAACATGTAGGAGCTTCAAAGCTGGTGGATGAATTCATTGTGCCAGAATTTAGCACTTGTGGTGAACTTTTTTTTTTAAAAAACTGATCTCCTTTAGGTGTGAAATGCATTTACAGATGAAGGCCTAATTTGCAGAAGGTATATTTGCAGCAGCTCAGTCCAAAGGGACAGGTGCTCTCAGTTTATTCCTGCAGCACCTGGCAGTACATTTACGCTGTGTATATGTCATGGTGCAAAAGAATTATACAAGGATCAACGTCGGAAGGTTTCAGAGATGCTCTTTACGAATAGAAATACTCTTTTCCCCTGTGCTCCATAAAAGCAATGTGTTTCCTTGCAGGGGCTATTTCTGCTCTGTATGGGACTTGTTTTTCCCACCAAGGCTCTTGCCATTGTGCTGCTAACTTAGGGCTTCTTGGAGGCCGTCTGTGTCAAACAGTGCAGCTGTGCAGGGTCTGCCTGCACGGTGGGAATGAGGGTGTGCATCAGGTTTGGCTGAGCCTGCGGGGAGGAGCAGTGGATTCAGAAATGCACTCTACGAAAGCAAAAGCATTTCCTGGGAACAGGTTGCCCAGAGAGGTGGTGGATGCTCCATCCCTGGAGATGTTCAAGGCCCGGTTGGATGAGGCCCTGAGCAACCTGATCTAGTTGGAGATATCCCTGTTCCTTGCAGGGGGGTTGGACTAGATGACCTTTGAAGGTCCCTTCCAGCCCTAACGATTCTATGATTCTATGATTCTATGATTCTATGATTCCTTTCCATTGGAACTGGATATCCGATTTTCACGAGTAGGGCATCGCCTGGTGATCTTCCTATCCCAAGCAACTCTGGGAGTCTCTGCTTTTCATCTGCCCTCAGTAAAACAGAGAGCCTGAGGCCATTGCTGTGTGGTATACTTGCTCATTTACTTGCTTCTCTTTTAATCTGTGTTCTCCTTCCCATGTAACTGTTGCATGTCTTACACTATGTAACTCTCCTCCACAAACAGTGTCTGATCAAAAAACCTCATTATGTTTTTTTTTTTTTGTAAATCTCCACCCTCTGGAGTCATACAGGTACCTTGGTTTTCATTTTTACAGAAGTTTTCAGCTTTGTAGATTGTAGGAAAGTCTAAAGCTTCATAAGTCAGAGAAAGAAGTTATAAAAAAAAATCTTTTTGTCTTGTCAAGTTTGCCATTAAACCTATCAGACAATTTATTGGGGCCTGTCACGATTTCTGCTTGGTGGGGGTTGATAATCCTGCAAAGTCTTTTTGTCCAAATCCTCTTTTTCTCCCTGTGTTTATTTTTCAGAAGGAGAGCAATACTGTGTCACACATTTCTTTCCCTCCTGGAAAAAGAAATAAATTCATTATCAGAGACCTAAGTCTATGCTGGTGTGAATGAGATTCACTTTGTCCCTGCTCTCTTGTGGGATATGGGTGGTCATATGGAGCCCTTCACCCCTGGTCAGTCCCCACCAAAGCCTCTGAGATATGCCAGCCAGGCCAGACAGAACCAAAGTACATACAACACCATGGAGCTGTACCAGTCTGGCATAGAAAAATCCCACTGGACACACCTGAAAAATTCCCCCGGACACTTCTCGGCATGCTTAGGTGCTCAAATAGACTCCAAACCCACTTTTCTCCCCAGCAGCATGTGAGACCTGCCAGGCAGCAGACTGCGATCCAATCGTATGGGAGCAATCGCTTCCTATCTGCCACACATGCTCCGTGCCATAATTACCTCCCTCACGCAGTGATCGAGAGATGCATGGCTCTGTAATTTATTTCCCCAGCCCATGGATTGCTTGAGTGAGCTCAGCTCCGGATACTATCACTCAGATTATCTTTAAGGAAGAGTAGGGGCTGTGTCCTGGGTAAAAGGATTCTCTGTGGTTTTCATGCAGATGCGAGGCATATGTGATCAGTCAAAGGAGTAGCTTGTCTTTTTTCGTGATAACTTGAACTATTTGGTTACCTTCTATCCAGTTTTCAGAGATAGAGGCTTTGAAAAAACTGTATTTTGAGATGTTTCAGTGGTCACTGGGCTGAAAAGAGCCATAACGGTTGTGTCCCTACTGGAAGGGAGAGGACAGTATGAACTCAACCTTTATCAGAGACCAGAGATGAGGTGCTCAGCACACGTGAATATATTTCACTTTCTTTGCTTTTCTGCATCAGATTGTGACATCTAGCCACTGCCAAAAAGGATGGGAAAATAACAGCCAGGTGTTACCTATTGTTTATTCATTAAAAATGTAGTTCATAGTCCCCATCTCAAAGAGGAAAACTGTGAGATTGGACAGTGGTGTGATGTGCCACCAAACTGGCTGGTGGTGCTAGTAAGATTTTTCCGTGCTCTACCAGCCCACCCTGGTTTTTTTTCCTCTCTGCCCCACTTTTCTCCATCAGAAAACAGAATATAGTAGATTGTAAAGAAGTTGACACCCACAGCCATGAGCGTATGTTTGTACTGGATGCTGCATCCCCTTGTATCTGAGACGAAAAGGCACAGGCGAAAGAAAAACGTAGAGTATTTTTCTTTGCTTGTTCTACATGCAGTAACAGGCCAAGTTGTATACTTGCAGGATATGCTGGTCAGCATTGCTGAAGCAATGCTAGCAATTGCATTTTCAAGAGAGGTTGTTGATTTTTCAGCACTCATCGTATCTTGGACTAAGTAGCACTTGTACAAAAGAGCTGACTGTCAAAAGAAGATGAGCTTTAACCTCTTTAAATATAACCTGAAATGTCCTTTTTTTAGTGTCTTGGACCAGGACGCCAAACTACACAGTCCCTGAGTGGAAGCTGCGCTGTTGTTTTGGGTGGCACAGCTTGGATGTAGGGTGCCACGTGTTCTGCGGCTGCCCAGCCCTGTCTCTGCCATTGGTCAAACAAA